GTACCAGTTCATTGTTTCTTCTATGTACCAGCTCATTGTTTCTTCTATGTACCAGCTCATTGTTTCTTCTATGTACTAGCTTATTGTTTCTTCTATGCACCAGCTCATTCATTCTTCTATGTACCAGCTCATTGTTTCTTCTATGTACTAGATCGCTCATTCTTCTATGTACTAGCTTATTGTTTCTTCTATGCACCAGATCTCTCATTCTTCTATGTACCAGTTTTCTGTTTCGCTCCTTACATCTTCTAGTTTTAAATTGTCGTTTATGTTTTCTTCAGTTGTTCTATGTTGTGTCTATCTCTCTATTTCATCGCTATACCCGGTCTCCGTTTATTCTCCAAATAACATCTCTGATTCGTCTAAGAACCCCTGTTTTTTTCTGGCTATTACTTGTCTGTCTGCCTGAAGCTTTTTGTTTCTTCTGTATACCAATTTTCTGTTTATTCTGCGTACTTCTTCTTGGTCGCTTTTATGTAATTATGTTTACCTAACTATACAATTAGCCGAGTTAAGTGCAAAATGGTTCCCAACAAGGTCTGATGCAAGGTGAGAAGGGGTTGACAAAGAACAATGGAAATCTTCATCTTTTTGTGGTCTCGAATTAGATCGTTTTATGTGTTTTATGTCGATTCATTGATAATTCATTGATTGATTACCTGTTCAAGGATCCATACTTCTATAAATGTACTTACTAATGCGGACTTGGTGTTACAATTCATTTTCCATGCTATGAATCTTGGAATGTATGCTCTTACATAACGACTTGATTTAATGTAGTTTTGAAAATCACGGTTATTATGTAAAGTATAATGCTTTCATGTTCCTATATCCCTTTTCAGCATGGAGTAAAGATTGGTGGAATTCTACATATATTATGGCCATGTAAACTTAAATTGGTGTTATCCCTCCTTAAGGGAGCTTGTTGTATATCTGTCCCCTCCTTGAGGTCTCTATAGCGCCCTGCTGTATTACTCTAAGACACAGTTATTAGGTACACTAACACCGTTATAACGCCTCATATATGTCAGCAGAGGGGGTGGGGGTGGAGACTGAGCGACTAACAGTTAGTGAGAGAAAAGAGAAAGAGAGGGAAAAGGTGGCAAAAAGAGAGACCGAGAGGATGCTTTTAATATGAGTGATATGCTTCACACTCTGTATCTATTAAACTTGGGCTTTGTATGGTGATTAACGCTTACGTTCTGGCTATCCCGTCCCCTCTTCAGAAGTCATTGTGAAAATGTTCGCCAATGTCAGAGAAACTCAAATTTCCCTTAATGTCCACATCAGGTGTTCTGAATAATGAGGAACATTTCTAGTGGATGTCCTTCTATCATACAATGACTGTTGGTTTGCGTCATTATGTAATGCAGAATATGCCCCCTGTAGCTTATGCTTGTCGTAAGAGGCGACTACATGGATCGAATGGGAAGACTCGGTGACATCGTATCCTGACTTTGTTGATCGATGACTTCAATCATTGGATTGTCTCGTCCACTCTGGATGACTTTAAGGCCGCAGTCACATTGCTAGATTGTTTAATGTTGTGTAACTGCTGGGTCAAGCATGGAAATGTCAGTCACATGGCAACCAATACACTTTTTAAAGTGAGCATTCTTGGCCTTTAACAATTCAACCCTGTTCCAAAACTTTTTTAGCAAAAGTTGCATGACGCTCTTTGATATCTTAGAAATAGGGGAGGTGAAATTGGGTTTAACGTCGTGCTTGAGAATATTTCGCCCATATGACGACGTGCATGCGTGTGTGTGTGTGTATGTGCGGCTGCTTGTACTAGCCCAGACTTAAGCTGGTTTTATAGTGCTAGCCCACTGAGATACCATGCCGCAGTGAAGTATGAATACCCCTCTCAAACACATTATACTGACTCCGAGTCGACCAGTCCTTGTTGTACCCATTAATGCCGAGCGCCAGGCAGGGACCAACAACTACCATATTTTAATGTCTTTTGGTATGACGCGGCCGGGGATCGAACCCGCGACCTTCCGCTCTCCGGGCGGACGCTCTAAACATCTTAGAAATAGTATGCTTTATTGTGCCTCAAAAGATAAATGCAATATAATTTGTACACAAACGTGAAAACCCCGTTGTGTTTTATAACAAAATGTTATCTCCCTGTATGCAATGGAAACTAGCAGTCACATGTGATGTTGGATGTAAATCTAGAGCCATAACAAGTCCTAACACAACATGAAGAAAAACAATATTCTTCACATTTTGCATTGTATTTTTGCTGAAACAAACATCTGGCTATGAAGTCTTTTAATACGTTCACTGAGAATGTTAGGAAACTATGACCTCATCACAATAAACTTAAACGACAAAACTGTTACCATACTCACAAGAAATATCTGCACAAACCGGAGTCGATTTTCGACTCCGTCTATATCAGGGTCCTATGATGAACACCAGGTGTTCACGAAATATTGTCCTTCTCGTGGCATAATTCACAAACACATGCTAAGGTTCATCAAATGTCCATCTATAAAAAATCCCCAGAAACATGGAGCAAGTCCATTTGCATCGGATGTCATTTTTCCAAAAATGTCTTCCGCATTTCTACCGCAATATGAATTGCAAGGCTGGCTGAGACCAATCCAAATAAACTTAAAACTCACTTATAAGGATTTAAACATCCTCAATATGATCATGGACGGTTATGTTGAAGTTACTGAGGGGAGGACTTATTTGCAGCCTAAGTCCAACATTTGAGTAATGCTGGGTGGGAAACTGAAACTTTGTCTCATTGTTTTGTTTAACTTAGACTTCAGCATAGCATTGTATACTTAGACAAACAAAATGTTGTAATGCCTTGAAAGATGCCCAACACAGCCGCCCTTAAAATATGCCCGGCACGATACATTTCAAAACTTACTATAGATCCATATATACCTATAGATCGGCCGAAACATACCATATGCTTGTGTATCACATACACAAGCATACTATATGTTTACACGCAAACTAAATGGTAAAAATGTATGCCCTCGTAAACCATTTGTCCACGCATAATACATACCCAAGTAAATGGCATGCCCAAGAATGACATGTACATATGCTCTGGACATTTTTATTTCTAATTAAACTACATGTTGAAAAACTATGTGTTCAAATTTAATATATACCCAAGTATACTGAAAGTAAATTATATACCCAATCCTAATATATGTCCAAGAAATATTTACACAATAAACTTTATGTCCAGGTTTTATATATGCCCCAAAAACTATATGTCCAAGCGTAATATATGTAGAATACTAAATAACAGTATTGACTATAGACAAGCGCGTTAAAATACTTAAAATATTACCATGCCTGCTTGTCATGGGTTAATTAAGCAGCAGGGGATCTCAAGACTTCCTCAATATGGAGCAAGTTTCCTTCATCTGATAAAGATTTTCCTTCCGGGAAATAACAGTCAATGTTAAGGTGCTTTCTTCAAACATTCCCAATACATTGTTCAAAAAACTATCATAAACTTTGTCCTTATGAGGAAGTAGATATTAAGATTCAATTAATTCACATTTAAAAACACATATGGCATGTTATATATAAATCTAATTCAATTGGCTAACCCTTAAGAAGATGTTGATATAGATAATCCATTTTAATCATTTAACTGAAACTGTCACAGTAATACAAAAAAATTGCAAATTCGTGTTGTTATGTTTTGTTTTTCTGAACATGTCTTCGCTACAGCACGGATAGGGCTGAATGTAACAAACAAAAGTTTCCTTTCCAGATGACTGCGACTTCTGTTTCTTATTAGATGTTTTATACTTGTTCAACGTGTGTGACAATTATTTGCAGTGCTAATGATCATTTAAACTCACAGCACACATCTTTTCTTTATTTGCTCTTTTATTGTTATGAACGATAAACAATCCAATATTTTTGTCGCATATGATTGAATCTACTCTGAATAATATTCACTGTTTTTGTACTGGTGAGTAGGTTTTTAAATAAATGTCAGCTACTTAAATTAGCTGTCAAAATTGTGACAAAGCATGGAATGAATTCTGTTCTAAGCTTCACCGTCATGAGGGTAATGGGAAAGTACATTGTTTCAACATCCATCGCATGTTCATATCAACACACCCACATGCCTAATATTTGACAGGCACATTACGACATATTCAATATATTGCTGGCATGTTCTACTGATCCTCTGTATTATTACGGCGCATGTAATCAGTGTTTGCCGACTTTACTGGTTAATTAACATGGAGCTGGGCACAATGTTATCATTCTGTGATAACTATGACGATATCCTAGCGCATTTATAACCTTTAAGCAATAAAATTGCCACAATATGCCTCGATCTGATACTACTGACAGGGTCCCCTATATTTCACCAATCTTCAAAATTACAAATTTGTACTTGCGAACATGAAAAATATCAAAACATACAATGTTCGTTTGTTTTTGTAAGCAGGTGAACAGGTAGATTTACGATGGGTGGTGTTCTCTGTGTGGGGAGTGTTTCAACAAACTTCCTATACAACCACTGTTCATGTTGATAAACGTCAAACCGTTTGAACCGTAGACAGTTTCCACCTGGGGTGAGAGGTGACTCACGTGACTCATCCCCGAAAATCGAACCCTAATGTACCCGTTTTCATCCGCTTAATGACTTAATCGTCCAATCTCGGACCCAAACAAAGGATTTATCATTCCGCTCCCTTCAAAGCACCAAACTTTTGATTCCGTCATTCGACAATGAATCTTCCTTAAAGATCAAAACGACTAGCCAAAAAGTTGTGCCTTATGTGTTTATTTGCTTTTCATCAATATATTATCAGCGAGGGACGGGTAGATCTGCCACTAAAACTCCGAGACTATTATTAACTCTCTTATCTCCTTACATCGGCCATTTATACCAGGTCACGTGACTAGACCATACAGCCAATCAGAATCCATGTTAGGCGACAGAATCTCTTATCATGTATTTTGCTAAACTGTATCCCTCCACGATCGTGGAAACTGCAATACCAGTATTCCGGGTGTTTCATGGACTAGTGGCCGAATATCCGGGTATAGAGTAGCTAACTATACATCGTGTTTCCCCGTGAGACAACGCTGTGTAAACAACGACTCCCACCTACAACCGACACAGCCGTAGCAGACGAGAGTCGTGTGGTGACCGGGTACGCCGATCTCCGACCTCATCTACCCCACACGACATCAACACTCCAGGATCGGGTGCAGTTTCAAGTGCACATATTGGGTGCCCGAGTTTTGTACAAGGTGTGTTTCGTTACTCATTCGGTGCTGCGACACCCGGGATATTGTCAACACTTCCCATCCACCCTTTCACAACAACAGCGTTTGTTTTTCCCCGGATCCAAGAGCAGTACCTAACGTCTGTGAAATTCCAGGTCCTGTGTACCGGGTGTAGCACCATCACTGCCACCGCGTCCCTCCCATCCTCGAGGCAGGCACATGTGCGCGACCCCCTGGACTAACACTGTTATCACCCCTGTCTGATGCCCCCGGCCCCGATGTTAGGGGTTGACTTGTCTCTCGGGATGCCCACCCCAGCCAAACGTTTGTGTCGCGATGGAAGCTTGGATACTCTACGGGGATCTTCTACGGACACTTCGCCAGACAACACAAGATTCAGGAAGTGTGCAAAGCCGGGAGTTAAAGCAGGTTTGTGTCAACACGGGGTAGGCGCTTGTTTTCGGGTATTTTTGTCTCTTTAAATGCCATTTTTTATTTTCTCACTTAGAAATTTATCAACAATTTCTTAGATTTCTAACAAAACCTTTATTATCCGTATACTGGGCATTGTCATCAGGCTTACAATGAGAATCGAATAGAATTCAACATTTCATTCGTGGGAGAAATATGTATGTTGAGAGTATATTGCCAAGTTACTAGGTAACATCGTCTCGCATTTAAAAATAAATAAACCACTCTTGAGTACATTTTAATCGTACTGCGGACATTTATACATTTGTATTATTTAATCCTGACTGAATGTTGAACTTCAAGATTTATCAGGATAAAAATGATCTACCTCCAATTCTATTATGGCCCAAAAAACAATTAAAAAATGCTGTTAACAACTGCTGTTCTTAAACATATACTATACATCTGCCTCTATATAAAACGCATACATGATTGTGTCATCACCATTCAAACAATTTCAAACTGTTTACAATATATTCTGGTATCAATACATATAATCATGAAATTACATTAAAGATTTATGTCGATTTAACACACTGTTTCATTTATCTGACAGTGTCTTCGCGTAACAACAAAGCCGTGAAATGCAATCAGAAATCCGTTTTATTGACATGGAGGTAGCTGTAAATCTTTACATTTTGTATATTGTTACGGGAACTAAAGGACGAGATAGACTGAACCAGAAATGACGGCTTGTTGGACTCAGAAGGAAGTACAGTGTGGCTCTCGTAATACTCGACTGTAAATCACTCGTGTGTACTAATACCCTTATGAAGACTGCTATTCCGCCTTGTAAGGGGATGGGAAATGGATTAAATTGTCTGAATATACAAATATGTCAACAAATCATAAAAGCTGCGATGACTTAGTCCCTCGAGTCTTGAGTGTAAACACGCCGAGGACTGTAGACGTCCGGTGCGTGTGAAGATCTACCACTTTCGTCCAACACTTGGTGGCAGAGTGATCTGGTTTGACGCTGAAATCCGTTTTATTATGGTAAATCTTTATTTGCTAAATAGCTGTCTCAGTTGACATACATTATGTGTCACTTCAAGTCTGGACATCATGTCTGATGACATCTGATCGCCATGTCCAGTTCACGTATCCTTTAAAATGAAATGGAAAAACGAACATTATACTCGGAAACATGTTTTATCTTATTTGCATTTGAACCTATGATATTTAAATACAAAATACCAACGGAATCACATACGTTTCCGGGTCATCGTATTTGTGAAATCAAAATTATTATGCAAATTGTCAGAGGTGATTGTCTTGGGTATATTTTCCATCGCTAATGATATTTCGTCAGGTAACATATTTTGACTTCAGATACATTCTTTTATCATCAGCAACGATCACGTTTCTTTGATGACTTATCCTGTAAAACAACATTAATACAAGCACACAAATAAAATTACAATACTCGTCTAAAGTATGGGAAGGAGTATTCCACATGTATTCATGTAATTAAAATGCAAGCACTTAATGAACAATAAGGCTCCTACTGAGTGACAAACATTCGCATTGTGGAACATCAATTGGTTTGCCATTACGATTGGAATACGCATAAATTATATTTCATGCTTGCACTTAAACAAGTTTTCTTTTTTTTATAGTTTTTATTTTTTGTATGAAGAACCATCGAACAAAATGCATAAGACAATGAACTAACATTGTCTCAATCAAGTTCATGTTATTTTGACATGAAGTAGTGCTTAATGCTTTATGAACTTCTATCAATTCTGTCCCCAATCCCATAAACAAATATTTAATCCCCAAAACCTAAACCTTGTTTTTTGTTCAGAATTTAACCTTAAATAAATCGGGTAAAGTAGGACAAATTATGGAAGGGCAATATATGTACCCAGTTAGATAACTGGCGAAGTTAGATAAGCCAAATATGTATTTTCTTTCAAGTTATCTTTTTTAAAAAGTCACCATTTTTTCCAATATATTCAATATACTGAAACTGCTATTCAATCTGGACTTTGTTCCCGGATGAGTTACGGAGAGTTTCAGCGTTAAGAGTGCCCCCTCGAAGTCCGCCACGCGCTGACTATTATCAACTGAGACTTGTCACAGGTCACTTGTGGGGGCAGGCTTCCTGCACGAACCCAGCCCCTCCAGCTAAGATGTGGTACCCCTCAAACTGACACACTCACAGAAAACTGGCTAGATTTTCAGAATTGCTCTCGAAACACTATGATGTTAAAAGCCGTCTTTACCCATATAGAACTCATAAAAGATATGAAGTTGTAAACGTTGCGTTTTTAAGACAGTTTTATTCAATTTAAAATATTCCTCACTGATTTTCGTAATAGAGATGGGGTTTTAATGTCACGCTTTTTAGTAAAATTTTAGTAAAATACAAATAATTATTATTTATACGTAAGTATGATTTACATGAAAACGACTTAAAGCGTATTTTGTGTGAAAGAGGACGAAATGGACACAAGCTGAAACTCTACAACACACAAGACAACATGAATATTTTCTTAATGGTGTAATTAAATATCATTTACATATAACATTGCTTTAAATGAAAGGTCTATACTTTCTGTTTTTATTTGTGTTGTTACCTCTGTTAAGATTTAGGTAAAAGTAATATCCATATATCTATTGGTAATGGGGCGGTGGGGTAGCCTAGTGGTTAAAGCGTTGGCTCGTCACGCCGAAGACCCGGGTTCGATTCCCCACATGGGCACAATGTGTTAAGCCCATTTCTGGTGTCCCCCGCCGTGATATTGCTGGAATATTGCTAAAAGCGGCGTAAAACTAAACTCAGTCAGTCAGTCTATTGGTAATGACATATGTCAAGATAGAAAGATGACAAATGAAACCTTGGAGAGTTACATTCATTTAGATCTGGTTTTAGTAGGCAACAGAAATGCATATACACATCCTACACAGTAGGTACCACACACAGATATCCATGTTAGCTTGGTTTGTGTCACGAACTTTCATAGTCATATTACATCGTAGAACTATCTCCTGCGTTCACGGGTAACTTACATATTCAGATTTGACGCCCCGAAGAGCTACATTTGTCCAATGACTTGCCCAAATATTGACTTAAATCACTGATTTGGCTTCATACTTGAAACCACTTACCCGCTATCATGCTCCAAACATCGACCTAAGACAGTCGTTTCCTCTGCGGTTGTGTGTGTTTATACAAGCTTGAAGACCTGTCCGTCTGTGCTCACCTGTACTCACCTGTTACAGGTACTGTGTCCTCCACGATCAGACTACATGGCTCACGGTAATTGCATTTTTATGCTGTCTGTGTTTTAAGTTGGAGATGTTCTTGCGTTTCAAGATTGCCTCTCTATCTTCCAGTGATGTCTCAAGTTGACGGGCATTTGTCTATGGGTTTGACATAGACGGTATTTTCCCTGTACTTGACTTTATCCCTTTGAGTTTTTAAATGTCTACTGTACGTAGAGTATTCATGTTGTGAGGGATAGTTTATAATTTATTTATACTGATTGAATTAATTATGAATACAGTAAATTTTTAATTAAATGATGCAATGGTGTAAAGATATTTTAATCATTCGCGTTTATTAAAAGTATTCATATATATCTTATCTAATAAAAACAAAATAATTTTCATTTATCCAAAATACAAGTCTATTTGTGATTTTTCAAAAATATCTCCGGAGCTATATGTGAGTATTACAGAAAATATATTGAAAATACGTAATTCAAAAAGTTACAAAACTCCTATTATACAACAGTGTAAAACTGACCGCACTTATTTGTGTAATATCTTGTAATGTGATGTGATATCGATGGACTAGTGACAGAATGAAGTGTTCCTTCATTGCAGCTGTCACTGTTCACTCAATTTAAAGCAAATGATAAGCTGAAAATCAAAACAATCAAATTATATGGCAGAGATGACTATATCTGGACACAGGTTTGGTTAACCAGCTGACAGATCATGTAATTATTTCAAGTTATTATTGTCGGTGACGGATAAATTATTCTTTTAGTCTGCGAAAACGAAATAAAAAAATTGAAAATAACTTTCCCCAAAAATGATATTGTAAATCAAAATGTAAATGCATGGTGAGAAAAGTGATAAAGTTCTGCTTAAATTGAACAAAATACATGTCCGCTGATATACAACAAATAAAACGCCCCTTATTAACATAGTCTAATGTTCGTCGTGGCGTCATGGGACGCATTTAAGACCGTATTTGCCTTAATATGCCTTTAATTGTTTCCTGAAAGTCCTGCAATGTCCCATAAAAGAACCGCGGTGATGCCGCTGACACCATCATGTCAATGTGTTTAACACATAGATCTAAATGTACAGGTACAGTCAGGTACAGATTTTGATATTCCCATGAACACAAACATTGCCTAATCCTGGAGCTAATTTTAATAGCAGTGGTCGAAGGAGAAACCTTGGCACAGAACCTAAACATGCAATCAGAGACCATATAATAGATAGGTCATAATTAGAAGTAAACATGTCCATCTTTCTCCATGAAACTCGATTCCAGTTTTGTTTACATTGAGTAATTGACTTTTGTCCCGTTTTGTAAATAGCATTACCTTTTAGACTCATGTTTACAGGTATATATCGACATGAATCGAAAGACTGTCAATAATACAAAAATATTTTAAAATAACTGGATAGATGTACTGAGCTACCGTACATGTAATACATGTCTTTGTTTTGTCAAAAAGTGTGGAATTATACATATTACATGTAGCAAACGGTTAAGCTGCAGGAATACCCAGAACCAGGCTTCCCTGGCGTACACATGCTCTACTCCATACAGGGTTTACGCAGCAGAGATCATATAGGATAACTTAACACAGTGGTATTTGGAGTAACTGTGATAAATTCCCTCAAGTCGTTTTCAAACGTGAATTGGAATACTATCTGGTATGATGTTGGGACCTTGTTTGAATTTTCCCAGCTAGTTTTAGCTCTACTCC